CCACTTAAACTTGTTGTAGTTATGAAGTTATGGTTATGAGGACAGTACATGACTGATGAAAAAAAGCAATGCCAGAGAATGACATTTTGATTCTAACTAGTTGCAATGGGCACCCATCATATTCTTTCCTCTGGTACTATACATAAAACACCTTCTAGAGCGAGTTTTGTCAGATGCCAATTAACTTATTTGCGTTTCTGGGTTGTGAAAGGCAACTGGAGCACCTGGCAACAAACCCATGCAAACACTGGGAAAACAGATGCCATGTTCATAGGGTCCATTCTAGAATAAGTCACATGCAAGCCATAACTATAAAAGATTGGGGTAAACATTCATAATTCAGGTTTGGGTAACATGAACAAAGAGTATACAATCAGCATTGGATCTCTGCCTGCTAAGGCTAATATCTGCCTTATATAAAACTATTATGTTATTGTTATTATGGAAATATGAAAAATTAAACCGCAGGTTGCATGAGACAACCCCGTTACTAGAAGAGAAACCAATAGGAATGTCTCTTGGCTGGGAAAGGTGTTCCACGAAAGGTTTTCCCTGTTGAAAGGACTTTTCTTCCTGCTCCAGCTTTGTCTGCTGTTTGAAGCCCTATACAGTTAAATGCTCTTTAGCCTTTTAAAGCCTTTAGAGGAAAAGACTTATCAGCTTCTGTTTTCAGAGGCACTAAATCTGCATTATGAGCCCATGCAGTTAAAGGGATTTAAAGGCCTGACTTTAAACCTCTTCCCTCTGTGTTTATCCGACACTGAATGGCTCCTGTTGCTCGGCTGGAAATGTCGATCTATGCAGCTTTAAGAGGGGATTACAGGCAAGAAAAGAAGCACTTTCCCCCCATATATATGTTCTCACTTTCCCGTTTCCTACTGTCTGGAGGAGTGGTGCTAGACAATGGTGAAAGATGGTTCCCAAAACCTTGAATAGGGACACTGTTGGTGGTAGCATTCATTCAAAGTGAGCTTCAGTGTATTGTCCACCCCAATCAGCCGATCAGAATAGAGTGTGCTGGTGGCTGCCAAAAGGTTAGCAGTGCTGATGAAAAGAGTTAGTCATTATTCACTGCTTTTACAGAACTCTGCTTTTGTGCTACTCAGCCCATCATTTCACTACGGAGGTCCGGATCTGCGGCTGGGTGCTCCTTGAAAATGGCCAATCCATGTGAATGCAATTCCACAAGTAGCAGAGCAGCCTCACATCCAGGACTCACCCCCGTCATGGAAGGCTGACATGCCGAGGCACTTTTTTGGCAAATGTCACATTTTAACGATGCCCATCACATCTCTGACCCAAAGTTAACACTAAAACTACAGTGGTTTTCGCGCCCTTTCTGCCAGGCCATCGTGGGAGGTCTGAGGGGGCACAAAATTAGTTTAATGAAGCAGGCAGTGTGCTACAAGAAGGAAAATGACAGAGAAAAGGGTATTCAGCTGGGCCCTACTATTTGCAAATGAGTGCTTTACAGTAGCTGATATGACAATAACGGGAAGACAAAGGCAACAGGATGCTTAAAAGCACAATACCCAATTGCTATTTAACATAGGCAGGCTGGGAAGTCTGCAGAAGCATGACATTATATCTATTATATGTTGGCAGGTCACAATAAAGTTTTATGACCATTAAAAGAAAAAAAAATCCTCAAGACTGCAGGCTAGGTACGTTTTACATTCCATGGAGATCTTAGGTAACTAATATCCTACTGTACAGTATGATACAATATTATTTCTTATGCTGTGCATTTCAATTACAAACAGACTTAGTCCAAACAACCAGTGCAAAGAGCAAAACCACCGAGCAGCAGCCCATAGCAACCTATTAGATTTAATCCATTCTCAAAAGATGAATTGCTTCATTCTGCCATATCAAATATTCCATTGCATATGTGCAAATGACAACAACCTCTTGCATCCAGAACCTTATTTCATAACCTGGATACAATGTACTGAGAATTTGCTATTGTATAAATATGTTCTTGCAGTCATTCATGAATAAGCCAAAAGGAGTTGCTAGTAGAAGGTACAGCTTGCAAACCCTACATTGATAACATAACAATCCATACACATTGGAGATTACCTTGATTCCTACCTCTTGTATTTTACAGAAACATGCAAACACAAGGACACACCCCTAATAATGCAAAAAGGGAGGTGAAACTGGATTAATCTATTTTAGTTGCATTATTAGACCCCACCTTTAGGTGTGACATCACAGTCATGTGACATCTTTCATAGGAGTAGGACAGGCGGGGG